CAACTTAATTTTCTGCTGTCGGGGAGGGTTGTGTGCTACTCACTGTTTACATTTGCCCTCTCCCACTCTTAAACAGGAGCTTGTCAAAACTCAGGGGTAGAGTGTAGTTTTGTGCTATTTTTAGTAGTAAAATCTGAGCTCGTAGAAAAAGGCTGCTGCTTTGTGAAACTGTGTTGTCTCTTCCCCCCCTTCCCCCTTTACCCTGGATACTTATGGATTTTTCAGCTGTCACTTAAAAGCTTTACTGTGTTTTTTTTTTTTTTTCTTCTTCTCACTTTTCATGAAAATGCAGTGAAATTATTGCAGAACTATACTAATGGCTGTGTTTTTTTTGGTGAAGGCTCTTATCCATTAGGCTATGGAGTAACTTCACTGAGGCAGTTGCTATGTTTTTCTTCTCTTACTTCTACAGATTGCTTTAAAAGAGGAGATTATTTAGGATAAGAACAAGCAGCATTATTACGCAGTGTTGTGTAACAGTTGAATGACACTACAGCTAGTTTGTATGTGGGAAAAGTGGTGCAAAATACCTCTAATTGCTTACAATGGGAAGAATTTATAATTATTACTTTTCCTGAGAGGACAAATGTGTGAGGAGGCCTGCAAGTTCCAGTGGAGAAGAGAGGATCGACTTGCAGAAAACTTTTGCTCTGTGTCCCCCTGAGAGTGTGGGGTAGGTTTTTCTCTCTAGAAATGTAACTCCATAACAATACTATAAAGAACTCCTCACATGTCCTTAAGGGCTATGTAAAAGAAGTGGTTTATGTGGCCAGGGCATATGGCCTGAAGTTGTGTCAGGGCAGGTTTAGGTTGGACATTAGGAAAAACTTTTTCACCGGAAGGGTTGTCAAGCATCGGAACAGGCTGCCCAGGGAAGTGGTTGAGCCCCCATCCCTGCAGGTATTTAAAAGATGGGCAGACAAGGTGCTTAGGCACATGGTTCAGTGGTGGGATGGCAGGGTTAGGTTAACGGTTGGACTTGATGATCTTAAAGGTCTCGTCCAACCTGAATGATTCTATGATTTTGAGAAGGAGTTAGAGGACAAAAGAATGTGCTTTACTCAAGTATTTTTTTTCTCTCAGGAAATACACATAGCAAACCACTTCTCCTGCAAAGGTGTATGTCAGGGAAGCTTCTTGAAATCTATAGAAAAGAGAAGTTTGAGAATGACTGATTAGAGACAGTGATTTGGAGTTAGCAGAGGGCTTGTGCTGTTTGAAGGCTTTATTTTTGGTAGCCACATATGCATGTATGTGTATATAGATGTGGAAGGCTTCTGCCTTTCCCACTAAATAGTCCAGAGACTTTGGTGTCGGTTCTTTGGAGCCTCCCCGTGAAAGGCCTGCTTTGTCTCCTTCCTTCTGACATGTCAAGGGTATGGTCTGACTGTGTCAGTGTAAACATAATAGAATTGTCACCAATGCACCATTTCTGTAAAACAAAGTATCTTTATAGCTACCTAATAGCACTTGTGACTTGAGTAACTGAAGTGATTTTTAGCCCTTGAGACCCGTGTGTGAAAGTCACCTTCAAGACATCAGTATATCGGAAAAGATTTGATCAAACAGATTTGCATGGAAATTACTTTCATAGGTTCTTTTATATTTTGCTAATGTAGGCAAATAGTATAATTGATGTCTTCAATCTTTAATGTGCTTGTAGCTCTTCTATTTTTTTGCCAGGGCTAGTAGCTAGTGAGTTGTCCTTAACTTCTTTTGCCCCTGCATGCAGCAATCAATAAAGGACCTGAGAAAGGACAGAGCAAAACCACTGAGCTGGGGATTCAGCTAATTTCTGTGCTTCTAATCTAATGCTTAGCACTTCTATTTAGCTTTTATGCAGAACTGGTTCTGTTTAGAATATAACCAAAATTTCTTTTTGAGCGGGTTGTACTTCTGGAGCTGGGAGAAAATCTAATGTTGAAAGAGGGCTGTAGTTACAGAATGGGGATGAGAGGTGGCTTTTGATATTTCAGTCCTGAAATGCTTCTGAGAGATGTCAGACTTAAAAATAATGTAGAAGAAAGATACATCATGAAATCAACAGTAAACTGCTGACATGGCTTTTATCAGTGTAAATTAGTCTTCTAACTATTGAGCTGAATGTATGGAAGGTTTCTCTGCCATCTGTGCCCTCATAAGCTGCTAATCTATGCACCCACCATTTTTAAGCCATGGACATTACTTGTACAGTGGGAGCTCCTTGCTCTCATTTGTGACGTTATTTTTAGTATGCTGTTATCCCAGGGAAATGTTTTTCCTCTTGCTTGAGCACAGATGTATTAAGCTGGTGGGATAGCAAGACTGGTATAGTCTGCCATGAAAGAAGGGAGTTAAAATGGTCACCAGTCTGGAGAGATGAATGTAGACCTAAACTTCTGGAATTCAGTGATTGTTTCTAGCATGTAAACTACAGATATTGGTATTGACAAGTGCTCTTAAAGCATACCACAGGTAGAGACTTCTGGTTTTCTCTTTGCTCCTAGGAGTAGCTCTTCGGATTCTGTAGGCGAAGCATGCTGTGCCATCTACTGCGGGCAAATCTTCGTTCTGGAAGAAAAAGGGTTAATTGAAGTTTACATTGAGTAGGAAGTATCAATCTTGTTCTGAAACACTAATTATGTGGTTTAATTTTCTTGTTATTTTGGCTGTCCCAAACTTGTATTGGGTGGTTCCTGCATGATAGTTACAGTGCTGTGATCTATTTCACAGGTGCTGGCCTTAATGGAGTTATTTAAGCTGCTGCTGTGAGAAACTGTTCTGACTTGGTGCAGCTGCTAGGTCTCGATCATGGGCCATTTCTTTTGCACTTCTGTCTCCCTCCAACCTGTGCCAGCACTGCTGCTTGAATGTCTAAGTGGATAAGCTGGACTGAAATCTGGCTAAGAACACACTTTTCCCACTCCTTGTGAGTATCTTCTCAGCTGGATGTATTCCCTGGTCTGGGTCAGTCTGTGACTATGCAAACTTTTGGTACTGGCACAAGGGAGAAGGTACTTGGATGTAGGAATGATTTAGTTTTTTAAAAAATAGCCTTGGGTGGATGGGTGTTTCCTTGCTTGTAGTTTGTGTGCTGTGTTGGCAAATACGAAAACTGGATTTTCTCTTCTCCCTCTTAGAATGCAAAGGAAGGGAAAGTGCTTCATTACAAGAAAAAAAACCCCCATGTTTGCTTTTTCTATTTACAAGACTTGTACAATCTTGTATTAATCTGTATTTTCAGTCCTACAGATTAAAATTCTTGCAGACACCTGAAGTTCCTGTGTAATCAAAATATGGAAAAACTAAATTTTCTTCATGTTTATAATTACTCAGGAATTTTTAGAGATAATGAGAAATATACTGCAAATATAAAGGGGTTATTCTTGTGGTGTCTTAAACTTGAATCTCTGAAAGCATAGGGACAAAAATCTGAGTAGGATTGCTAGCGGAAGACAGAAGGAAGAGGTAGAAGTTATGGCTAGTCAAAATAAGTATGCTACTCTAGCTGTTGCTATTGGGTATTGCTTACCGTATTTTCTAGTAATGCTAAAATATACATTCTTTCTCATATTAGACTTAAAGCAAATGTTGGTACATGATGTTTTTCCTGCCTGAAATCTGGAACTCTGCATCTCCATTTTAACACAGAGACCTTTTTCTGCCCAGAAAGCTCAGTATCAGTGAGTTACTTACAAGATGACCAGTATGGCAGGGAAATTACTTTCCTTGATGAGGGATATATAAACCTTTAAAAACATGCATGTAAGCATCTCTAAGTAACAAGTTGATTTTCTATTTTGCTGGTGTGTACTGTCTCCTCAAACCACCTGAAGAGATTTCCTAGGTCTGCACTGGGTCCCTGGGAGACAGGTTCTCTGCTAGCCCTCAAAGTGGCAGTGTGTGATGAGCATACCGTTATGCAACTTACTGTGTAGCTTGATTTATATAAAGTTATTTTGTAATTGCTACAGCTATTCAGGTTTGAGCTCAGTTTGCCTATTGCGCAATTAATAGATAAAGCAGGATGCTTTTCCAAAATACAGTGCTAATACTATCTGATTTTTGAGGATTCAGTAGAGGTGGGAAACTCCAAGCCAAATTCAGCAGTTCAGAGTTGGGCTCTCATAAATGAATGGTCTGTGTTCTTGGGCTTTCAAGAGTCAAAAGCTTTATCAAATTGAAGTAACAAGTCATGACGAAAATAGGTTATACCTGATGACTCTACTGCCCTTTCCTAGTTTTGCAAGATAGGAAAAAGTCACTAGGTCAAGCTGAGCTCTTGGGGCTCTGTTCTGAGGAAACTTTATGTAAGTTGTAGTACCTAGGGCATATGTGGTTTTGGGGAATTAAGCATCTAGCTTGAGAGTTAGGTTGACTTAGCTGGGTTGGTGGTTTGAGAGTTCTGTGGAGGTTTTGGTGTGGCTTTTAACAAACCCCCCTCTAGCAGGAGCTTGGGAGCCCAAGGGTGGGTGGCACCTGAGCAGCTGTAGATTTGGAGATGACAATTTAGCAGTGTTCCATTGTGGTTTCAGTTGTGCATTATTTACAAAATATCTGTTTATTTTAAAATATGTTTATTCAGTTGCTCATAGTGACTAGGAGCAGACCACTCAAGAGACTTTTCTTGAAGTGGATTCTAGATTAAGCAAGCTCTTAAACCTTAGTGTGTATTGGTACAGATACATACAAAACCCCACAAACCCTTCTTTCCAAAACTGTGAATCAGCATTCGAATTTCATATCTGAGTTGAGCAATATTGCTTGATTTGTTTTAGGAAACTACCCTACATGTATTCAGGCCTCAACCAGGTTCTCTAAGTGATTCTAGTGTGTGTGTGGTGGGGGGAGGAGGAGGAGGTAGTTAAGTTTTTTAAACCCAGATGCGTGATTAGGTTAGGCTATTAGAAGATTTTTACGTGAAATCTGTCCAATTCTGTAGTGTAAAACCAGAACTGAGTGTGGTTTAATGCTTTACAGTTTTTTTTAATTGCTTGGTAACTTTACTATTTCTCTATAAAAAGTTTGAACAGGGCTCTTTTTGCCAAGAGAGCACATGGCTAAGATTCTGAAACTTAATGCTAACTAATTTTCTCATCATAGCCTTTCCTTCCAGTTTCCATCTGTGGCATAACTTTTCTGGCTTCTCATGTGTTCGAAACTAGCTTTGTATAAAAGTTGCTCACAAGAAAGTTCGGAAGCTTTTCATTCCTTGCCCCTGCACCCCCCAGCTAACTGCAAGTATTTAGATGACCTTTAACAAGCACTTTCTTCATTGAATAATATTAACTCGGTGGAGGCTTTTTTCCTTTTTTTTTTTTGTGTCCTGTGTGACCTTCTTCAGACTATTTGTGATCCCACAAGCATATCTGTCAATAGAGGTTAGAGGGACTCGATCCGCTTAACTGCGTGTACTCTGGAGCAGGAGAATATACTCTCCTGCTTCTGCTATAGGTATCCTTGCTCTTCCCTCTGACAGGATCTGGATCACAATACAGTCACTGAAGGTGTAACGGTCCTGCTGTAGACTTGGGATAATGACCCAAGAACCTCTGATGTGGTTGCAGCTGGCAAAATTCAGTCCTTAGCTGTATCTTACCTCTTAGATGCCTGAAACAGCTTGTACTGTCACATCCTTGGAAAAAGAATATACTCCTGCAAAAAGAAGAAACCTCTGGTGGTTTTCAGTCTAGCACATCAAATAATTTGCATTTCAGGTTGTTATTCTGGATTTTATATTTGGAGAGGGAAGTAAAAGAATGAGAGAAGGAAAAAAAACCCCACCAAAACAAAAAACTGAGTGGGAGAGAACTCAGTGTGTGAAACTGGATGGAATAGTTGCTTTCCACTGACTTTTTAGTTCCAGAATAATTAAGAATATCTGAATTGTTCCAGAATAATTAAGTTTATCTGGATTAACCGGGACAGTGTATGCTATGTCTGCCACTAGTGATTGGCATCTGAATGGTTTGTGAGGCTGTAGCAGCTTTCTAAGTAGAAAGTGAAGCTCAGTCTGAGCAAGCACGAGGTAGTGTGCTGTAAGGCTTCCTTTAGTTCTGTATTACAGGACTTGTACTGAAATATATTGTTTCTCCTTTATAATATCAACTGCATTACAGATGTGATGCCCTTCTCAATCCTGGGCTGGTTTCTGCTTTCTGTGAGGCAATGTGAAAAGTGCCTTCAAACTAGGATCAGGCTAGAGGGCTGCATAGGGAGCATTCTCATTTTGGTTACTGCCAGCCACTAGTACTTCGGAGCTGGTATGAGCTTACAGTGAACTTAAGGTAATTGAAAAATTGATAAAATTCTGTGTTTACTACTGTTGCGGAAGGAGCAGCTGAATTAACTAATTAACTCTTTATATGAACATATATGTCCTTCTTTTTTGGTCTCCTTTCTAGTGTAGTCAGTCTTCATAATTTTCAGTCTTTCCTCACAGGATAGCCTTTACTTTCTATTAAACTTGTTACTCTGATTTCTGCAGCTTCTGAAAAAAATTCTTTCAGACAGAATTGATAGGTTCTGAGTTCTGGCAGTTGCCAGTCATTGCTGTTTTGTGCTTCCTACTAGACTATATTTGGACAGTCTTTCTGATTTTAGCTGGGTGAGCAAGTCTAGGTTTCCCCAAGTTGTCTGTATCTGTATTGATGGAGCTTTGGTGTGGGATCACTTATCTGTCTGATAACTTTTGTTTATTGTTAACTGTAACTGCCGTTACATTGTGAAATGACTTGCTTGAGAAGTACCTGTCTGAATCTCCTTGAATCTGTCGTGTTATCTTCGAAACAGCAGATGTATCTTGATACACTTGCAAATTTGCAAGTGTATCATCTGTCGTGTTATCTTCGAAACAGCAGATGTATACTTCCTTTCCTGACGTATCATGCAAAATTGTTAAACTATGGGATCTAAGTTTTTGTGGAAGTTGGTTCAGAGCAGAAGTCTTGGAGAAAAAGGCTGCTTTTCCTCAGAGCACTGTCAGGGGTTGTGGTAGGGAAGACTAAACTAGCGTCTAAAGTCTGTCCTACTTTTGCTGTCCATACTGGCCCAGTCCATTACCTGCTCTATTTCCAACAACTCCGCTTGTAGTGAAGGCCTCTCCCCATCCCCAGTGTGTACAGACACAGGCATGCATGCTCTTCTGACAGCTTCCTGGTAGCTATTTCTTGGAACAAGAAAGAAAGAGGATGTTGTAGTGGAGAGTTTATCAAAAATAATTTATACCTAAGCTAATGATTTCATATCTAGAGCTTCTGAATTGGCTTTGGTTACTGTTTGTTGGGTGTGTGCTTGGGGGAGGGCAGATCTTTAATCTTTCATCTACTTTGTGGGGGAATGGAAGGACATGGAGGAGTTTCCTCAAGATGTCAGTATATGAACTGTTTTTATCTGACTGGAATACTGTAGCAGGAGGAAAATGTTTAACTCCTTCTTTCTTCTGTAGTGTGAAACGCTGTGTTCAAGATGGTGCCTTAAAACCTCACATAAACTGTATTCATCTGTGTATGATCCAAATGAAAAGGTAAGTAGTATGGTGTGTGTTTTCTCTTTAGCATTTTAATGTACTGCTGACGCCTGGTTTTTAAAGCTATCCTCTCCCCTGTGCTGCTACTAACAATGGTAGCTTTCCTAGTATAACCCCTGTACAGTCACTGGTTTAATAACATGGTTTTCTTCCTTTTTTTTTTTAAAAAAAAACCAAAAAGGAAGTTGCTTTTGCAGTATACGTGTGAAGATTGGATACTACTTCAAGTGCATACCTTAAAAGGTTGGATAAGTGATTGTGAGCTTGGGAAAGTTACATACTGGCCTGAACATGTTACAAGTATGAAACGGCTATTAATATTTTGCATGGTGTGGGAGGTATAGGCCTGTTAAAACATCTGGGAGCTAGAGTAGCCAAAAACTTTTCATAGAAACAAAAGTATGCAATAGTGGCAGCAGTTAAATGATCTGACACGGTGGTGAGAACTTTAGAGCCTGGATAAAGATGGGCCTTTAAGGCCTGCAGAGAATAATAAATCCTCATCTTGGGACTTGTGCAGTAGCAATCTCAATTTACAGTAACTAGCCAAGAAAAACTTTTCTTGTGGGAGATTGTCTTGGCATGGCCTCTAAAGTAACACACTTGGAAAAATAATGTGGCTGAAGGTACACTAGTATTGAAGGGCAAGAATGCTGACAATTCAGGACTGATAGGTTTGCCCTTGTAGAAGTGTAGAAGCAATTAACCATTAGTGAAATGGTATTCAAGAACAGGGAAAAACAGTATGTACCTAGAACTGTGGCTTAAAGAAGTCTTCAGAAGAAATCTGTGTTCTTAAGGTCCTTGCTTAATCAAGGTCCCATTCCTTTTCTAAAAGCATAGCTATGTTTAGACAACATAATTGGGTATTTGCTTTCTCTTAACTAGGAGCTATGTTATTGCCAGTGGCTAATAACAGATAGTTTAAGCTCTTTTCTACTTTTTTCCCTTCACTGCCCCTTCCACCATCTTTGTAATGACAAGATCTTCATATCAGACCTTTTAAAGCTAATTAGTGAAAATGACACAAAAAAGAAAGGCTGCATGTTATATCAAAGCAGCATGTGGGTTTTTTTACATGCTGTCCTTGAGACTTGTCTTTAATAGCAGGAGCAGGAGTCCAGTCTTTCTGTTAGTGTCTTTATTGCAGAATTAGAAAATTAAAATGAATGTCAAATAGACTTAACATCTTGATACTCAGAGTCTTGTCTTGCACTGTGACCCTCCTTGATTAATAAAACAACTGTTATATACCAACAACTAAGTTGATGAAGCATTTGAGTTGTTAAACTTTTCAATGCCAAGTATTTGGGAGCTTTTTTATTCCCCCTCAAGTCTGTATACCTAAAAAGTTTCAGGTGCCTAGAATGCTGAAATTTAGGTTCAGGAACAATTTGTATGAGCATGTTGGAAACCTTTCTGTTTTTTCACTGAGTTTTAGACCAGGTCCCCCGCTAAAAAAGCTCTTCAAACAAATTGCTAGTTCCTGTGGTGGTGTTATAGTATTTGTACCTCTGATAATTGAGCTTGCTTCAGGATGTTTAAGATCCATCTTTTGAGGGGTGCGGGTGTGCTTTCATACTAGGGAGTGGTATGCATTCCTCAGGAGGTCTGGCTGAATTTACCATACAAGCTTGCTGCAGCTGTTACCTGGAGGGTTTTATCCCTTAATTTCTGTATGTTGTTATCACATGGTAGTATTTTTAAACTGGTCATGTGATGCCAGCTCAGCCCTGGCTTTGAAGAAGTAAATTTGGTCAAGGGCACCTTGAGTAGTGTGCCTGTTTAGAGTAGGGGAGCAAACAATATATACCTTAGTCTGTCACTAGCAGTTCCTGTTAGAGTTCTGCAGTGCTCCTTCCTTTCCTCTTACACCTGCCTTCCCCTCCCCAAATTAACTAATGACTGGGGAGGAGTAACAAACAGTTTCATTGTTGCAGTGACAATACTTCCTCTGCCCCCCAGTCCATATGAAAACCAGCTGTTTGGTGTAGGGGAGGGACAATAGCTATTCAATGTCTTAGGGCATAGTTTGATAAACCTAATCTGGTATAACTGCAGGCTGCCCCTGAAGGGGAGAGTCTTGCTGGTTCCCTAGCCTGTTTTTTGATTTGGAGCGTGGGAGGCAGAGTAGGACTGTTCGATTAGCGTGTTGAACTGATGTGTCCTGAAACTGCATCCCTGCTAGGTCTGATGCGTGGAAAGCAGTGGGGGTGTGTAAAGCAGGATTGTCCCTTTCAGTGGCAGCCTGTGTTTACAAGCTAGCAGGTGCAGTATCAAAGTGCACCTGTATATTTAGAAGTAAGACTAGTGACAGCAATAACCCTTACTCCCAGCAATGAGATTTTTATGCTGAGCGACTCTACTCCCCCACCACTCTGTCTTAATGGGAAGTTTTTGTCTAGGGTGTAAGGCTTGTTGACTTCAGACAGCTTATCCCCTTCTTACAGGCATGATAGGAATATTGAAGGTGTATTTACAGCATTAAGTGGACTCAAATGTGAAAGATGGCACTGAATTTTGGGGGTGTACTAAACTTGATTTACTGTTCTGTTGTGCTTTGCTTACTGCTTAGTATTGAGTATGTAACACCGTTATGATGGCAATGCGGGATTTTGCCAGGTTCCTTGCAAGAGGCTCAGCCACGAGGAGGGGCCAGGCTGGTACAATTCGGCAAGTGTGCCTTTACAGAATGGAAGTGTTGGTGTTTAACACTTCATGGCCTAGGCAGAGAGGAACCGCTCCTCCTTATGATTGGAATGCCTCCCATGACAGATGACTATTGTAGTCCAGGTCATCTGTGCTGGTTAGAGGCACTGACCACAGGTACCTGCTAGAGTTCTCCTAGTAGAGGTAAAATCAGCTAGGTTTAGGTTTTATACAGGCACTTCCCAAACCAGGTTTGGGAGCTTTCACGGGGGTAGTGCAGTGGGAGAAGAACAGTGACGGTAACTTCCAACAGAAGGATGGTGTGTTTGCTATGTGTCTAGCAGAACTTAGGTGTAAACTTTTAAAATATGGTCTTTAGAGTACTGCCATAATGTGGGGTCCTTCCCTTTTTGTAGTTTTAAAAAAGCAGAGACCTGGGAAGTATGGTAAGCATGCTTCCTTTAAATATCTCCTATGCATTAAAAAACATGCAACTGAGGCATTTCTGGGGTAAAGTGGTTGGTGCATATTTGGCAGTGTTATGAATGTCTCTTCCCTGGACCTGACTGTCTCCTAGAGCCTCTGTAGAGTTCTACTTTCTGTACAGTGTGTGACAAGGTGATCCAGGGAGTGCTGATGTGAATAGTCCACACGTTTTTCTTCTGAACCTGTGTATGTGCTAGGTAGATCTAGTATAGCGTACCTTTTATGCTACATTGTCATTGTTAAATCAGCAGAACCCTTTTAAAAGTAGGTAATCTCAGAGTTACAAGCTCATGGATAAACCAGGGTTTAAGTGGAAGGGAAAAGAATGTGTTTCTGCAGGGAGGAAAACTTGTATTTTGTTCATCTCTCAAGATCCTTATTGTTCTTTTCCCCTCAGACTTTTGAAAAACTCCTTATTGCCAACAGAGGCGAGATTGCATGCCGAGTAAGTATGTAATATTTCAGGTTTTTCTTTTTGTAGTTAATTCTTAGACTATTGGTATTTCAAATATTGATAATTGTCATTCTTATATGGTAGGTCATCAAAACATGTAAGAAGATGGGGATTAAAACAGTTGCCATACACAGTGATGTCGATGCCAATGCTGTAAGTACTACTTGAATTCAAATGGTAGATGGCGTTCTTAGTAATTCAACGAGACTTGCAGCTGTTATGCAGGCTCGTTGAGTGCCATGGTGGGCATGTTGGCAATTCTGAAGTATCTGTATATGTCCTTTTCTTCCATTGATTACAAGGAGGGGAGATGCCAAGGGGCAGGGGACAGGACGGACAAGTATGTAGTATGGGTTTTTTGTGAACTCTCTTGTGTTTTGCTCATATAAGTGTTACCTTTCTTTTTCCCTGGATTAAGCTAGCCAATAACACCTGGTAGGTATGTGCACCAAGTGTAAGAGTGGCAGCGAAACCTAAATTTTGTTTTGCTAATGTACACAAAAAAGGCAATGAAAAGTGGATCTCAGGAGATGGTATAAACTTGGTATAAATTGTTCCTGTGCCTGGTATATCCAACTCATTGTTTCCCACTTCCCAGAGGAATGCCCTCTCCTACTGTGTGTGTTGAACGGGCCCATGGAACCGTTCCATTTGAGGATGCTGAGGTGCCTTGAATATTTAGCAGCGTGGCAGGAAGGTGGTAAAATGGCTATCTAGACAAGTACCATACTCTTCTAGCAACTCGCCTGTTTTCAGGTCTTGTAGTCTTTATTAGAAATATTTTAAATCACTTGTAGCAAGAACAGGAAGATAACTTCCTCTGAGATAGCAAGTGTAGTCATACTTGCATATCCTTGTTGACTAGAGAGAACATCATATTGTTCCTTGCCTGCAAGAACTGCTACGGGAGAAAGGACTGGGGGTGCACCCATGTCCCAGGATAGTTCATTGCAATCTGGAAGGGAGTTAAAAGCCTGTGTTATGATTTAATAGAAGAGGTCCCTCAGACAAGCTATCGGGTGGAAAAAAAAAAGTGTATTTTACGCAGAACAGGATTTGTGAATATAGGTGGTGGGTTGTTCAATGTTGAAAAACTGGAGCATGGTTGATGGAATTTGTGAAAGTAGTTAGAACTTAGGCACTTTCAGAGTTAAGTGAAAGGTGAGACCTGTTGGGAGTTTTGGACTTTGACAGTGCTTTTGTCTGAGTCCTTTTGTGGTTCTATTCCTGCATGACCAGCTCAGTTCATGTAAATAGGCTTTTTGTAGAGCAAGGGACTGAAACTTGATTTTTCTGAGACGGGACAAATGCCCTATTGCGGCATTTCTATGCCAAGTAATTATTTCTTTCTGAGGTGAATGAAGAGTATACTTGGTCTGTATTTTGACTGATAGCCATAACTGGGAGAGTATAGTAGCTTGTGGATGCTCGACGGACTGTGAAACAAGTTCTTAATGGATGGGAGTTGGACATCATGATAAATTCTTAATTCTTTTTGGAAGCCAAGGGTTAAGTGGATATGCATACAAATTACTCTGTATGATGTATGATCCCTCTGGTAAAACAAGCACGCTGATGGGTACTTGTATTCCATCTTACGTGTATGGTATCTGCTGTTAGGATGAATGGATTCGCTGTTCAGCAGCACTGCAGAGGCTTGTTTGCTGGCACAAATCCATTCTGAAAATATACTAAAAAAGCTGGTTAAAAAGAGAAAACATATTCTTTTGCCAGTTTATAGTGACTTGAGAAAATGAATTGGTTTTCTCTCCAACATGTCTGGGTGGCTTTATTTATTGTATGGACTCTGCTATGAGCTGGTGAATATGGAAAAAAAAAATCTTCTGAAAGCAGTAAGTAAAAAAAAACAAGATTGAACAACATGAATGAGTAAGTAAAAAAACCCAAGACTGAAGAACATGAATGAGTAAGTAAAAAAACCCAAGATTGAAGAACATGAATGAGTAAGAATGACAGGAAAAAGTACAACTCATGACCTTAATGAAGGAAGTACAAATAGTGCATTACAAAGAGGAAACTGAAAATGGTAGTTACTCTGCCTCAATCTAGTACTGTCTTAGCTTTAAAAGACAAATAGGGTCGTTAATTTGTAATAATTCATAAGAGAAAGGAAATGCAAGCTAGTATGTCAGAAATGGATTAATATACTCGTAATGGTTCATAAAGATAACATTAAGTGTGTTAAATGAGACGCTGACATTTTGAGTACGTGGGACTAGAGATGAGGCTCTTGCAAATGCTGTAAGGGTGAAATAGTGTCTGCTTAGCTCTTTGGATCCTTGCTTAAAGACCAGTCAGACCTATCGGTACAAGGTTAAGCATTAGCTGTGTGCATTGAAGAAGCTCCAAGTATTTAAAGGAAAACTAGAGAAAGACTTAATACCGTTACCCTATTTTAAACACACAGAACAGTGTTTCAAGTAGCCTAAGCAACATATGTATAATTAGACCAAAAAAGTAACTTATGTCTACCATAAATCCTTTAATCACTACCTTGGGTGCTTGGGAAATAGTTTAAGTACTGTCATCTGTGTTAATGACTTGAATACCTCTGGTTGTTCATAGTTTGCAGAAATGACCTGGCCATTGCAGTGATGTGTGTGACTGCCAGTTTGGGCAATCTTGGTAGATGAGTCCAGACACCAAATTCTTTGACTGTGTTACCTACCATAAAGTAACAAACCATGTTTGCCCCATGTTGTTCACTTGTGTTCAGGTTCCATTAACAGCTATCTTTTTGGTTATTACGAGTGGTAGCAAAATTGCAAATTGCTCTGAAATCAAACTTGGGAGCTGATGCAACCTGCCAAATGAACCTCTGTCCTCATGTAGCTAGGAGAAACCTGTTTGCTTAGTGGTGGGATCCTGTGAAAGAGTTGTGAATATCCTTTTGACTTTGTGCTTGACAGAATTAAGGAAGACATCCCTCATTCCTTCAAAACTTCTATTGCAAAGACTATGAATATCATAGGCAGCTACCTAGATGATGATAGTCATTGAACCAAAGGCAGGAATAGATGTAAAGGGATGCGATTGAACTAATTGCCCATCCCAAAGCTGTTTGTCTTTACTAAAAATAGTGGGACCTGTTTATAAGTGACTAGAGTAGGTAGGGAATCTTTAGAAAAATATTTTTTATTGAAGTATTTAGAAATAGCATTAATTGGAGTAGGTAAATTTTCTGTTTTGAACTTAGAGTGACTTTTGAGATGTAGTGATAGCCCCTTATTTATTCTGGCAAGTAGCTACACAGATTACATGTAACATGGGTAGTGTGATACTCTTAATGCTAATTCATTTTTACAAGTAACTGTAAAAGCAGGGCAAACTAGACAGTCTGTTACAGCTCTCTGGCTTTCCATGCTGTCACTGGTTGAAAACAGAACTGAGACTGAGGTGAAACAGGGTTCCTTGAGTGTGCTCACTAAACATTTAAGGGGAAAAAAACCCAATCACAAGGTACTGAGCAATTCAGGGATAGCTTCTGGTTTATTGCCCATCTAGTGTCATATACATAAATGACATGAGCAGGCATTTCCACTGGTGCTTGGATAGGAATGGTATATATAGCTTTAAAATCATTGGTCTTTGTCTAGAGATACTGTAAGAATTACTAGTGAATAGTCTTACCCTATGATTTTATTTTGGAAAAAACTTGTTTGTTGAATATTCAACTTTTCTTTCATTTTTTTAATGTTAAAATTCTCTGAAATCCTTGTGGAGTCTACAGTGCTGAATGAAGGTGGTGGGAATAGCTGAAATACACATAAACTTTCAATGAAACTACTTTTTCTTGTTCTTCAGACTTGGTTTCTGCAGAACACCATAGCAAATGTCTTGAGCATGCTCTTGGAGCAATATTCATTTTGACATACCTCTCATTAATATATAAATTAGTAACAAGGCTATAACAGTACAAAGAAATTTTTACTTCAAGAAATTAAAACTTTGCTGTTGTGAGCAGGAAGCAGCAGAAAGGACTGTTATAAATTGGGAATGTGGCAAAAACTGAACAACCTGCTGAGAGCCAAATAAAGCTTACACGAAGAGAACAAAATATTACTTAGTGCTCTTAATTTGAGAAATAGCCAAAGGTCTGAAGGATTTCTATAGGTTGAAACTACTAAGGTGATGGGAGGGAACATTAACAAAGCTTAAAAAGAGGTGAGTGACTTCAGAGTGCTTGTGTATAAATATAAAATTACAGGTAGATGGAAATGGCATTAAATGGTATTGGATTACATTTACCTTTGTGGAAGTGTGGGAAGGTATGAATTGTGAAAAAGATTGCATCTGAAGTTATGCTGTGGAAGAGTAGTTGCTGCTTTAACAAGTGTCCTGAAATACAGTCATTGTGGTGGTAGGGGAAAACAGCCTGGCAAAATGGTTACTGAGACCCCCATAGAGCATACAGTTGCCTATGTGGTACTGAGTATGTTGAGAAAAGTAGGTCATAATGGATGCTTTTTAGGGTCTTGAAAATCCTGGCCAATACTTCTTATTACATCTGTTATTTTCTCCACTTTCCCCCAAATAACTTGTATACTGTTCAAAATGCTGGGTTTTTTTTTCCACTTCAGAGTTCAGCTTGCAAAATATTAATTCTTTACACTTGGATAGGTAAACTGGGGAAGGACTAGGAGAATTTGGAAGTTTTTTTAAATTAAAACATCTGGTGGGGTTATTTTTGGGATGAGAAAACAAGCAAAAAAGCTTTGGCTGAACAAGAGTAATTGTATGTACTTTTTCCCCCTGAACTGATTGGAATAGAGGGTTAAGATGAAAGAGCCTCCTCAACCATAAATGTAACACTGATGGTGCAAACATAGTCAAGGAAAGCTAGAGAACTATTGTAATGCCTAATGTAATCAGCTAAAAGTATGATAAATGAAGAACAAGCTTTCACTAATTGGATCTGAACAAAAGAAGGTATAGCATAAAGCAGTGAATGAGATATAATTTTATTTGGCATTTTTTAACACAGCAGGGATTCTATAGCCATACGAAGCAATGAACTATAAATGACTGAAAAAATCCCATGGGAAAGTAATGTAAACTACTAAAACTTTATGGAGTAGTGGACAGTCAGTTATACTTCTTTAACATAGGGTTTTTTTTCTATCAGTAACTTA